ATTAAGAAATCAGAAGGATCACAAAGAAATAGCCTAACACTGTGCTCAGGTATTCTAGAAAAAAAAAACACTAACAATCCTAATCTCAAAGCAGTAAATGGCTAGAATTAGATTTCAGAGTAGAAACTAATGTAATAAAGACAAAAATTGCATAGAATCAATCAAAGAATTGGTTCTACAATTTAATAAAATTAAAGATTAAAACAGGAGGCTTCATAGATTCCAGTAACATTCAGATAATCATTAGTGACCATTTTGAAAACTTACATTTGCATTTTTGCAACAGCAAGGAAATGAAACTAGCCTAAAGGTCCATCAACAGAGGAGTAGATAATGAAAATATTGTATTTTTGTATAGTCCAGTTTTATTTTTCTGTAAAGAAAAATGAAATAATGACATCTGTAAGACTATGGATAGACTATGTTAAATTAAATAAGCCAGACTCAGAAGATTAAGTCCCTGCATGTTTTCTCATACACAAAACCTAGACGTAGTTATTTTATGTGCATGCATGTATGTATTTATATTTGTGTGTTTTAAAACAGAGGGGGATCGTGTTCATGGAAGAAAAGAAATAGGGGAGAGAAAGAGAAGGTAATGGAATACTTGTGATATAAAAGCAGAACAGGACCTATCTGAGGGAAGGAGAACCAGCCAAAGTTGGGGTGGGGGCAGATGTAACAAGAGTTCCAATAGGTCTTAATAATAAAAGCCTGGAATCAGTAATATGGGAAATGCTGAGAGATCAGAGAGAAGAAGGAACAGCCAAAGCCATCTTTACCTCACTGGCTTCCCAGTAGAAAAGAGACCAAATTCCTGTTTCCTCCTGCCTATATCCCTTTTTCCGCCTAGCCATCTCACTTCCTGTCTATCTATACAGACCTCCAGACCTCTATGGTTAGCTAGTGGCAAGCTCCACCCTTTGATCTTCACACAAGTTTTATTTGTACAAACAAGACATCACCACAGGCAGAGGAAAAGAAGTAGGGGCATTCTAGAATGGCATTTATTTATGAAAATTCCATCATAGAACACACACTTCATGTTTTTACCTAAGAAGTTAATTTTTAAAAATTTGAAGCCCACTAAAGTTACGAAAGTTTTAACAAGTTGTGAGGACATCCTATTAATCTCTAAACTTTAGGTTCTTTCTGGATGATTCTGTTTTTAACTTGGCTTCCTAGGACAAGCCCTGAAGATACCCAGTCATAGCAGCCACAATAACATTCATCAAACAAACAAGATGAAGATTCTCCTGGGAGATATGTATGGCTCAAAAAATGCTTACATATATGGTATCACTTGACTTAACTAGGAAACTGAGTCAAAAATAGACCTCCCAAAGCTTAAGCATTTGTAATAAAAAAATATCAACAAAAAATAAACCCAGTAATATATTATCACAAAAGTCAACATCCTGATTTAAAAGATATTATAAAAATAATATTTATCTTGACAAAAAAAGAATACATTACCATAGTAAGAAGATAGGTAGGGATAGATTGTTTAAAGGGATAAAATGGAGCTGATTTGTAAAAACAAGGGGAAATGCCTGAATGGTACAGAAAAAAGTGCTTCTGAAATTAAGCACATGGCTACTTTTCTCTTAGTAGTAGTTTAGACCTGAATTCTGTGTTGTGAAACTTGCTGCGTTCCCCTATCATTGATTTTAGATGAAATAATTGCCTGGGAAAATATCACGCATAACCAACAAATGCCTCCTGAATTGTATTAGGCCCTTTCTCCTATTTGCAGTTGTCTAAAAGCTAATTAGTACCATGGAAACATGGGATATACTTTACTAGAAAAATTGTTGTCCAAATGTAGGTAAAGTATTTCTAGAAGACAGGAGATATTTAAGTGTCCTATGTGCATTCTTTTTTGACAATCTGAAGATATAAGCCTAAACAAAATAACCTCCAATATCCAACTAAAATAGCTTTTCTATTTTAGAAATGTTTCACTTTAGATGCTCTAATTCAACTTAATTTTTTACACTTGTTTCTATGCACACATGCATTCATGTACACACCACAGGCTATACGTGGAAGTCAGAGAACAATTTTAGAGAATTGCTTCTTTCTTTCTATCATGTGGCTCCCAGATATCAAACTCAGGTTTTGGGGGTTGGCAGATACCTTTACACTCAGGGTTTCAGGTTTGGTAGCAAATACCTCTGAGCCAACATGTCAGCTCTAATTTAATTTTGGGATGATGAGTAAATAAGCAATATAAGATATTATAGAAGACAATAAATTTGAATACTAATTGGTGACAGAATACTGCTTGTTACCTCCATTAAAAAGAACCATTCTCCATTTTAAAATTCCAATATAAACCATGGGAACATCCAAACAACTCAGACTATTACCAAAGCTATTAGTTGCTCTCCACAAACTAATGATAAGACCCTATTGTTGAAGATAACACCTATGTCTCAGTGAACACAGAGAAGTCAAGCTGGTGCCTTCACCCCTACCATGGTTTATGAGATAGGTACTTTGCATACTAGCAACCCTGCTATAAACTGTCCAGTCTTCAGTGGTGACCTGCCTGCAAAATACACTGTTGCATTGGTGGCACAAAAGCTGTGTAACCACTATCTAATTGGATTTAAGGTCCACTTCATGAGATGGAACCCAGGCCTGACACGACTTGGTTGGCCAAGAATCTGAGACTAGATAGGCCATAAACCTAGGGGAAAATCAAATATTGTTGTTCCTCTAAAGGAATGCAGCAATACTATGACTCCTAAAATATTCTGCTATACTTTACTCACAGATAGGTGTCTCACTCAGCCATCATTGGAGAAGCTTTCTTCTGCAGTAGATGGTGATTAATGCAGAAATTCACAACTAGAAAATATACACACATAGAGAAACCCTGAAACACTCAGTCTTACTGGGGATTTTTCATCAAAGCCCTCCTCTCAAGACTCAAGGAACTTTGGAGTAGAGGAAGCAGAAAGATTCTAAGAGCTGTAGGGAATGATGAGACCAAGAAAACAAGTCCTCCAGACACAATGGGACTGATGAACACAGGAACTCAGAAACTGTGGCAGCATGCACATGGCCTGTACAGGTCTAAACCAGACAGGGTTCCAGCACTGAGATGGGGAAGTAGACACAAGCTCCCAGCCCTAACTCAAGCTATCTTCAACTAACAACTCCAAAAGGAAAACTTAGGTTCGCCAACAAAACCACACTAAAGGTAAGCCCCTTGCCAGAAGCAGATGGCCAACACAAAATGAACTCAAAGAATTTGGGGAGATTTTCTGTCATATTACTGTGTCTGGACATTTTTTTTAATCTTGCTGGTCTTTTGCTTATATATTATGGTTTTGAGTTGTGTGTGTGTGTGTGTGGTTTTTTCTCATGATCTTCCTTTCTTTATTCCTTTCTTTTATTAGATTGCCCATTGCATTTTATCCTAGTTTGTTTGTCTTTTTTACTTGCCTATTTGTTCTTTTAAGAAAAGGAAAAAGGAGGCATAAAGTTTACAGGATGGAGAGGCAGGGAGGATCTGGAATGAAATGAGGGAGGAAAAACTAACTGGACTATACTGTATGAAAATACTTGATTTTCAATTAAGATTAAAAAGAGAAATTCTGGCATAAGAGAAGGCATGGGAAACATGAAAAATGGCAATCAAGTCATCTATCAGTGATGCCCACATTTTGGGGAAACGTATCCAAGAGGATGTCTTCCTTTATAGTCCTTTAAAGATACACTTGTGAAAATAAACATTTTCTACCTTTTGGAGATTGTTCAGTTAATTCATGGCCAACAGGCTATGTTCTAATCCATTGCTTTGAACAAAAGGATGAATCTGCCCAAGGCTCTTTCTTTGGCTCTTCTTGATTTTAAGTAGTAGCCCAGGTAATCTATTTTATTCAACACAAAATAAAAGCAGTGGTTGACTTTCATAACTGCCTTTGTTCTACCTTGTTGGCCCCCTTTTGCCCTATTTGAATAGTACTGTGTCTCCCTCACATCCCATTCTTAATGAGGTTATTTACCTTGCATACCCAATGAGATTGTACCTTATATAATAAATTCTCTGCTCTGAGCTATGTCTGAGGGGGGCAGCCTAGTCAGCTATTAAAAGGTATAACCTTTTAACTGAGATTGGTCTTAAGGCTGGACACAACTTCTACACTGAATTTCCAATTACTTAAAGATGTCACTATAGCATACAGAGGTGTTTACATTTACATACACTAGTGGATGGGCCTTACAAATACACACTAACTACTAAATGACTTTTAAAAGCTCATTTGCTACCACATGTATAAATGCTCTTGCTTATGTATGTTAATGAAATACATGTGTGCTAATAATGCAAGCTGGGCATTAAAGAATAATCATTTTAATGCATTAGCATTGCTATCAATTATGTGTGCTAATGAAATGCATGCAACTACAATTCATTTGGACTCTAAATTTCCTTCCAGTCAGTAATTGTTTTTCTCCCTCCACCTAGCTGTATACCAGAAGCAGTAACATTGACTACCTTAATTTCAACTTATCACCACAGTGAGAAATAACAAGCTAAGAAATGTCCAAAAGTCTAGAGGCAAACAAAGGTAAGGAAACCTGGATAATCTACCATTTGACAATAAATTTAGCCCACCATCATTGATGGGATGGTAGTAGAGCCTGTTAGTAATTGAAAGGAAGTGGGGGGATGGGCTCAGTTACTTCGTTGAGTCCATACCATTTGAAGTTATTACTATTAAAAAGCACTTTAAATAAATACATTAAATAAAATTGCTTTAATTAAAAATCAATTTAATAAAACTTTTTCTTGAAATTCTTTCTCATCTTTTGTTCAATCTTTTTATTGACACAAAGTCTCACTCTGTAATCCAAGCTGACCTATAACTCACAATGAAGCCCAGGTTGACCTCAAACTCAAGGCAATCTTACTTCATACTCAGATAATGAGACTAGAGGTGTGAGCCACCATGTCCTGGGACTTTTGTACAATTTTCCCCCCAGGGGAGAGTATGAACACAGTCCTCCCACTACCACAAATTATGTACCTGACTTTCCCACATTTGGAGAAATACAGGGGTCAGTATATATGGTGTACAGTGGATAAGCCTAGCCCTGGGAAAGCTACCATGGTGATCATGGCATCTCCCCTGTCATATAAGTATACTTTTGTATGTCTTACTTTCAGATTTTCATTAACTTGGTCAGTGTGCTTGATGATGCTTCACTAACCTAAAAATCACGTTTTCAGTGCTAACCAAGTATGGTGCTAGTCAAATCAAATAACTACATGGAAAAGAATGGAACTTGATCCTTATGTCTTACACTTCACAAAACTGAACTCCAAATGTATCAAGGACCTCAACATAAGACCTGAGGTCCTGAATCTAACAGAGGAAAAAGTAACGAATATGCCTTAGATTATTGGCGCAGAAAGACTTTCTAGTCAGTACTCCAAAGCACAGGAAGTAACACCAACAGTTTAGAAGCTTGGGAGATGGCTCAGTGGTTAAGAGCACTGATTGCCCTTCCAGAGGACCTGGATTCATTCCCAACACCCACATAATAACTCACAACGATTTATAGCTTCAGTCCTAGAGGATTCAACACCTTCTTCTTGACAATTCTAGCACCAGGTATCAGGCATACAAATGGCACACAGACATGCATGCAGTCGAAACATCCATACACATAAATTTTTAAAAGACCCATCAGTAAATAAGACCTCATAAAACTAAAATGCTTTGTACAGCAAAGGACACAATCATTCAAGTGAAGAGGCAGCTTACAAAATGGGGGAAAAAATCTTTACCAGCTATCTAATAGAGAATATCTAGATTATACAAACTCAGAAAATTAAAACCAAAAAAACAACCCAATTCAAAAAATGGTTGCATGGAACTAATCAGAGAGTTATCAAAAGATGAAATACAAATGACTAAGAAACATTTGTTTAATGTTCAATATCCTAAGCCCTCAAGGAAATGTAAATTAAAACTACTTTGAGATTACCCCACTCAGAATAGATAAGATAAAAACAAAATGATGGCAAAAGCAAGTATGGGCATAAGGCAAGGGGAACATTTATTTATGGCTGGTGGGGGTGCAAACTGGCGCAGCCACTATGGAAATCAGTGTGAAGATTCCCAAAGAAGCTAAAAGTATATCTACCACATGGCCCAGCTATACCACTCTTGTTCATATACCCAAAAGACTCTATATTCTACTATAATGGTACTTTCCTATCTATGTCTACTGTTGCTCTAGTCATAATAGACTGGAAATGGAAACAGCCAAGATGTCCATCAACAAATGAATGAATAATGGAAGTGTGTTATATATGCACAATGGAATATTATTCAGATGTTAAGAAAATTAAATTTGCATATAAATTAATGAAGCTTGAAACAATCATCACAACTTGCTATTGGTGATTACTTTTCTCCTCCTACCAGAATAATGCAAAGTACCTTGAACACCATAAACACTCATCAGTCAGGAGGAGTGAAGCTACTACTTGGGTGCCAGCTGTTTCTCCATGTTTGATGACCTAAGTTTTGTCTTCAACAATAGGACCTTGCCATTAGTTTGGATTTAAACAGAAAAATATTGCATGTTTTCTCTGGTATATGGATGTTAGTTGGACAGCTAGTAAGGGAAGATAAGGGGATCTTCCAAGGAAGGAAAAATAGAATATAGTATTATAGAGAGAAAATAGGGGGAAAGGGATTAAATGGGGAAGAGATGGAAGAGCAAGGTAAAGGAAGAAATATGGGTAGAGACAACTAACACTAAAGGTCTTTTTAAAAGCCATATGGAAACCTACTATTGTAGAAGCTTCCTAAAGGAATTTACATACATGATAGATAGATAGATAGATAGATAGATAGATAGATAGATAGATAGTCAGACAGATAAAGTAGGTTTACCCTGTAACAGTATGAGAATGCTTCTACTAGACATGATAGGCTAATATATTTAAAAAGTGCCAAGAACAGGTTATTTCTTTGAAGTTGTTGGCCACTGAGGTCCCATGGACCCCACCCCATATTACAGACTACTGTGCTATTGACAACTTCTGTAACTTGATGGTAAGACTATTGCTGAAGACACCATGTATTGAGTCACACAGCATGGATATATCAAGCTGGTATTGACTACAAATAATTCATCCCTATTGGCTAACTTTGCACACTACCAAAGGAGAAAAAAATAATCATCAATCTTAGCTGTGAACCCTGGAAGCTACAATAATGTCTGGTCTGACAAGACAAGTGTAATAATAGCATGAACATCATGGAGTGACCACCACTTTCTTTTTTGCATATTTTTTATTTGAATTAGAAACAAGATTGTTTTACATGACAATCCCAGTTCCCTTCTCCCTCCCATCCTCCCATACCACCCCCCGCCCCGCGTCAACTAAAACCCTACCTATCACATATCCTTTCTGTTCTCCCTGGATGGTGAGGCCTTCCATAGGGTGTCACCAGAGTCTATTGTATCCATGACCAACCACTTTCTAATTGGATTTCAGTCCCACTCTACAAGATGAAACCCATACCTGGGTACCATTGTCAGGCCAATAATCTATGGCTAGACAGGTCATAGAGTCTAAGGAAGAACCTACTATTATTATTTTACTAAATGGGCATAGTATTAAACCAAATCCTAAGGACTCATTATTATACCCATAGACTAATGCATATATCAATCCTCATCAGAGATGAACACAGAGACCCATAACTGGTCAAAGTGCAGAGAACAAGAGATTGCAGAATGCTCAATCCTAAATAGGATATTTATATCATACCCTCTCCTCCCAGGGCTCAAGTATCATTGTAAAAGACAGGGTGGAAAGACTATAAGAGCCAAGGTACTGAATAAATACAAAAAACAGTGTCTTCTGAATACAATGGGGCAGGTATGTATATGAGCTCAGCAATTGTGATGCCATGCACAAGCCTGGTGCAAGCCCAAGCCAGACAAAATCCCTGCATGGAAAGGGAAAGTGGACACAATGTCCCACCTCTGGCAAAGTAGTTATTGGCAACTGATAGCTGTTGGAAAACAAAAGCCAGTTTTCTTTAAGAGTTTTGCCCTTGGTAAATCGATCACACTGCACTGGAAGGCCACACATCCAAGAATATATGGGCAGCACAAATTGGATTTGATGGAGGAAAAAAGGTCACAAAGTTTGGTGGGTTGGAAAGAGAGGAGAGTTGAGAAGAGCTGGAGGAGGGTGAATATAATCAAAAAACATTGTACAAAATTCTCAAAGAATAAAATAAAGAAAACAACAGCCCAAAAAGCAATTCTCTTGAGTCAAAATACTTTGGCTACAATTCGCAGGAAAGGAGTAATTAGAAGGAGAAAATCCTGCACATAAACCATCTTGTTCCTCTCCCCTGCAGAAGACCCAGGGAAATCTAGCCTACTTACTAATGCTTAGGATCTCATAGATTGTACCTGGACAACTCAAATATGTATTGACAACCTACCATCTTACAGGTATTGTAAACATAGCAGAGAACAAAACTTCAGATAATTCTGGCAACAAGTATTTTTTTCTGCTGGTGGAGAGATGATATAGCAAATATATATGTGTATATAATATAGTATATTAGACAAGGATAATATTGCTGCCAAATGCTGGTAATAATAGTGAAATTAGTTTTAATTGAATAAAGAAAGCAAGAAAGGGGAGTGAATGAATATTTTTAAAAGGATATGATCGGGTCAGAGACAGCAAGTTGTTATCTGAGTATCCAAGGTAAGTTTAAGGCAGAAAAAGGGGATACAGGAAGAGGACCACTACACAGGCATAAGGATGAGCAGTATAAGGCCTGGAAGCCATTGTGACGACAGGCTTCCACTATAAATACAAAGAGCAATGATAGGAGAGCAGGTGAGTGCCTATTACAACAGCCTAGATGAGAAATGAGAAGGCCTTGAATCTGAAAGAAAAGCTGAGCCCACAACTGGAGTCAGTAACCTTCTATGTCGCAAAAACATTTATATTATAACTTCTACTTCATAGCATTTAAATATTATAAAATGTAATTCATCAATAAGGATACAAATTAGTGGCTCCTGGGTGTTAAAATTTATCATACATTATATTTGTATGTGCATCATTTAAGGTTGCTGCATATCTACTTTGAAGATTGAGTCCATAGTCATGGCAAGCAAAGCCTCAAAGCTAAAAAAGAAAATGATTACAAGTTAATTTATACATAATGAAATTACACTGACACATCTTATAGTCTTATATTTGTGTATTATGAAGTGTGAATATTGTTACAACAAATAGAATGGTTTCTGAAGACATTTTTATTATTTCATACACACACACACACACACACACACACACACACACACACACACACACACCTTTACCACATGCATGTCTGGCACCCAAGAAACCAGAAGAGAGCAATGGGGCCCCTGTAACAGGGATTATCAGATGATTGTGAGCTGCAATGTAGATGCTGGGAATGAACCTGGGTTTTCTGTAATGGAGTGCTGTTAACAACTAAGCCATCTCTCTAGCTCTGCAGAATTTTTAGTAAGATGAATAAACACCTTTAAGTAAAGAGGTAATAATTATTTTGAATCAACAAGAACTGAGATCTGAAAGGAGTCATGATCTTATAACAGCTAAAGTACAAATTTTGTTTTTGTTCACTCACTTTTGTGGTGTTAAGGAAGGAATCCAGGACCTCATACACACACAGGCAAGAGCTTTTACATTGAGATACACCTTGTGCTGTATCTTTTTAATAGTATATATCATTGAAACAAAATACAGAAGAAGTCTCAATATAGGTTTATTGGAAGAGGTGTTAAGCATTTGCAATTCTAGCTTTCAATCAGGAGTCTCTTTAGCTTCGTTTTACTTTACAAGTCTCATGTAATAGCTATCCTTAAGTGATTAAAGATACAATCCTCTTAGGTAAAAAAAAAATTGAATCAAATAATTGATAAATAACTTTGTGGAATCTGCATTCTATGAAGCACAACATAAAACATTAAAATAAAATTTTAAACAAAGAGTTCCCTGGACTTCTGGAAAGGATGCCATTCCATGCAAAGGCTTATTGTCAGGTCCAGGAACTGCTCTTGGGAGTGTCAGCAGAAGCAGTTGAAAGAAGACAAGCCACTT